ACGTAGTTTTTTCAAAAGATAATGTAGGAAATAAAAAAATATACATATTCCTAAGTTGAAAATTAAAGCAGTGAAAAACGGCTCTCCTCTTTGTTCTTTATCACCTCCTATAAATATCATATGAGTTTAAGCTACTTTAGCAACAACTCATTGTCTTGGTTTTTGTTATTTGATTGCAACAAAACTTGATTTCATTTTAAATTTCCTTTGAGACTTGAGAGATGTCGAAAATCATATCTTCTCTAGTGCTAATTTTACTATTTTGTTTCAATTTCCATGCATATCATGCTCGAGTCCTCGATGAACTCCACGTTGCACATTTTAACACATCCATCGAGGTTTGCCCAGTTAATTTATTATTAGTTATCAGCTAGTTATAACATGCTCATCCATTTTCCATCTATCACTCATATAATTATCTCAAATATATTTCAAATTGTGTGTTTTTCTTTTCTTTATAAATGATCAGTTATAGAATTTCACAAATCTAAAAATCCTTTGGTACCATGATCTCTACTTGTAAGGTTGTTATTCGAGCTCAGCTCAACTTGTTTAATAAGCTTAAAACCAATGAACTGTTCCCAAACAAGTATTGGTTCGACTACTCTATATATTTACAACCAAAAAATAAAAAAATAAAAACGAGTTGTTCGCAAAATTAAGCTCCACTCAACTAATTTAATAAATGATCTCATATGGACTCACGAGTTGAACTGAGTTGTGTTATCGAATTGTTAGCACTAAGATTTTCTAGATATTAAGATAACATGCATATTAATTTATGGTTGTAATATTGTATGCAGAAAAACACTGAAACGCCTACTTTTCCCACATCGCCAAGTGATGCAAGGAGCGGGTCCCCTTTAACTGCCAAGAAAATGGGACCTTCAAGAAGGGGCTCTGGCCATCACTAAAAATGGTGGCCAATTGAAAGCAACAAAAGATGGCCCCAACACGCTCCATGGGCCCATGGCTGCATTTTTTTATTTTCCTTTTAAAGTCTTGGAAAAAAATTTAAAAATTTTAAGGTTATCTGTTTGTTGTTGTCCTTTGCATAAGATATGAAATAAGTTTCGTTTTAGTTTATAAATGTTCTTATTATCTCAAATATTATACAATCATACCTTTTCATATTATGAATCCATACTTTTTTATTTATGTTATACTTTATAGTATGATATTTGACTATAAAAGTATGTACATGACTGCAAGTAATAATAAATCAAGAACCACTTCTTAACTAGTTTCTTAAAATTATATTTTATTTTGTTTATTTTTCAATATATATGAACAAAATAATATTATTTTCTATTGGTAAATTGAAAGTCCAATATGACTGCAAGTAATAAGCCAAGAAACCACCGTTAACTAGTAGTTTCTTAAAACTTAAAAATCATTTTGGCCAAATTCTAAACTACTCCAATCATTTCTTTTGACCCACTTTGATCAACTTCTTAGTTATACAACAAGAAAATACTCATGATATTCAAAGATAAGTATCAACCAAAAACATATTGTTTGAAAAAACTAATGAATATTAGTATCTACCTTATACTTTTGCATAAATGTAAATACAAATTATCTATAATTCTTTAACAAATAGAACCATGCATTGAAAGAAAGAAACTTGACGACAGATCACCATTTCTTAAACAATGTCACATTCATTCATTTCATCAACATACAAATTACAAGCAACAAACAAACATCATAAACAAAACATTTGAACATTAATGTTAATATAACCTTAATAAAAAAACAAACAAAACTTCGTGGCACTTTCTTCCCACACGAATTAACTGTAAGGCTCAAGGCAATCGGGACCTTAACTTACACAATCCCGAGCACGTTAGCCTTAATAGTTGTACAAAGGTACAATGTAGCTTCTGCTAAGCCCTTCAAAGGTTCAGTTATCACCCAATCTAAATCTACCGTTAATTAATTTCGACGTCTTCTTTAAATTGCTAATGAATTACCAACCCTAGTTAACAACAAGCTCTGTTAACCGAATTTTCCCTTACCGATTATTTAATCAAAATAAGTTCTTCGACTAAACTTAACTAATGGACAATCTAGAATAATCTCTCTAGATTTAGTGCACTAGCAGTATTAATTCCTAGAAAAATAGATTAGTCTAAGCAGCGGACGCGTAAGCTTGGACTATTTAACTTATGCTCATGTTATCCTAAGGATGCACGACCCCTAGTTTAATAATAATGAAACGAGAACAATAACACGTCGCATGGGCCTCTGCATTTTTATTTTCCTTTTAAAGTCTTGAAAAACAATGAAAAATTTAAAGTTATTAGTTTGTTGTTGTCCTTTTATATGATATGAAATAAGTGTTCTTTTGGTTCATAAATGTTGTTAGGCGTGTCGACTATTATGCAATCATACTTTTATATATTAAGAATTCATACTCTGTATTATATTTTATAGTATGATGTGTGACTATAAAAAGTATGTACATGACTGCAAATAATAAGCCAACTTAACTAGTTTTTTAGAACTTAAAATCATTATATGTGAACTAAATAATATCATTTTCTATAAGCTTGGAAACCGATCTCTATCGGGAGAGGGGCGGTTTCGGTGCCTTTCTTGATGTTTGCAGACGACCTACTCCTTTTCCTGGAAGCCTCCCACGAGCAAGTAGGGGTTTTACAACAAGTCCTAACCCGCTTCTGCTATATGTCGGGCTTGAAAGTTAGCTCAGAAAAGACACAAGTCTTCTTCTCACGGAATGTGGGTTTAGAAGAACAACACCTTTTGGCGGATGCTTTACACTTTAAGAGGACTGACAATCTTGGGAAATACCTAGGGATGCCTGTTATTCATGGTCGAGTTACCAAGTCGACTTACTCCCATATTCTAGATAAAGCGGAAGATAAGCTTGCCGGATGGAGGATGAAATCCCTTTCACTAGCGGGACGCGTTACCCTTACGCAATCGGTGATCAGCTCCCTTCCATACTACTCCATGCAGACGACATTATTACCTAGTGCGATTACCGAAGGCTTGGAACGCCGTAGCCGAGCTTTCATCTGGGGCGGGTCGACCGAGAAACGTAAAGTTCACCTAGTTGCTTGGAAGGAAGTGTGCAAACCCAAGGACAACGGCGGACTCGACATTAAGGACCTCCGCAAAATGAATCATGCGCTGCTTATGAAGCTAGGTTGGCGGCTTATGTCCAAGAGCGACACACTGTGGGTCCGGCTTATGAGTGCTAAGTATAGTCTT